GCTGTCATTTCCGAGTTAAGGAACGCTTTTTGGACTAAATCTGACTACTTCGGACTTTTTCTGACTATTTCTGGGAGATAAGGAACGCTCCTAGTATTGATTCAATACTATCGATAGTACCCCATTTCTACACTACACTGGAATAAAAACAATGCAATCAGCTGATTATGATTATGGATGGTGAAGGAAAGTATGCGTAAACGTTACCAAGTGGCCGCTACGGTTGAACATGGACGGATTCAGTTTTCCAGAACTTTTGTCATATCAAGCTGCTAACACTAAAGTTGTGACCTATGGAAATGAGTTTCAATTTATGTTAGCTATTAAAAATGATGTAAATTTCCCACTAAGACGTCGTATGTCCGCAGCATGGCTTAGCGCACTAAAAGCCAAATATGCATTAAGTACTAACGATAAAGAGAATGCAGCTCGAAATGCAACTCGTCTGCGCGAAGAAGGGAATGTCCTGTATAGCTCAAAAACTGATAACAATAAGGGAGATATGGTCACCGCTGGACAACGGTATACACAAGCTATTTTCGCTGCCGTAGCCAATACAGAACCTTTGGCGCTAGCTTATGCTAACCGGGCAATGGCCTTGCAAGAATTGAAATACTACCAGCAAGCATATGATGATTGTTGTTGTGTACTTGAGACAAACATGTATCCACCGCGTTTATTGCACAAAATTATAGCACGTCAGGCGTTTTGCGCATTTTATTTAAAGGATGCAATGAAATTGGAGGCGCATTTGCAAGAACTAAAAGACTGGAATTTAAATGAGAGCTTCACTATGAGAGTACAAGAGCTGCATGCAGGACTGGAAATATTAAATAATAATGAAAGGCAAAAGCAAACCGAGTTTGGAAAGGAATATAGAAAAGAAGTATCGATGACAGAAGCAACAAGGATGTGAGTAAGACATACATATTGTCGGCAGGGGCGGAATACCTTATACAAATTTAAGATTACCAAATTAGTCATGACGATCACGGAATCCATCTCTGAGGTGCCACCTTTTCTTTACAGAAATCGGTTAACGTGGTCCAAAGTTATGCGGTAACATATATACATAAAACAAAAATAAAAAATAAAAATTGCGACGAATCGATAACTTCCATCTTTTTTTGAAGTCGGATAATAAATTTCTTTGCTCTTTTGTGAGCTTTCCGGTCTATCTTATACGTGGTATTGCACGCCAATCGACAATATGTACATTCTACGCTTTGGCAACAATAACATCTTTTATTTCATAAACTTCCAGCATTGATACAAAAAGCACTACCCGCGGACGCTACATGATTGCAACGAGGGAGATAAAATCTGGGGAAGTGATTTTCAGTGAAACAGCAAGCTCTTTTGTGCCTGTCGGTGGTTGTCAAATGTGTCAAGAATGCGGTGCTATGTTAATGATTCCCTTTCCTTGCCACGGCTGTAATGGAAAAGTTATTTACTGCTCATTAGCCTGCCGAAAAGGACATTTCAAAGTGCATCAAAATGAATGCATTGGACATTTAATAGGCTTGTTTGCGCAAATCGGCATTTCACACCTGGCGCTAAGAGTAGTACTGGAAGAGATGCCAGCAATTGTTCCGATTGTAGAGCATAAAAAGGATCCCGCAGAATTATGGCTTGATTTGACATCACCAAAAGGACTGCTGCATACTAGACCGGATGTAAATTATGCACAAACGCTATGCATGGTTACCCATTTGGCCAAAATGTCTTTATCAGATATAATATGGTTTGCTTTAGTAGCTGAACTGTTAATTGTGTATCTCAAAGACCATACACATTTTTTTAAAAGTATGAACAGCACTAATCTCAAGCAAACCGACTGGGAGTTAATCACAAGTAAGATGCATATCACTGGCTTAGAGAACAAATTTGTTATGTCTAGTTTTTTTAAGTTTACTGGAGGGAAGAAAAACTCCGGGACCCCTAGCTTTTTTCAAACATTTTGCAAAAATCTGATACGAATTTTTTTTTAGCAAAAGATAGGTACATGTCGCTCATTTGCTTAAATAGTGGCTTAATTCAAAAAATAAATTTTTTTAGTTAAGTATGCAAAAACTACCACTACATCTTCTTTTATGTTATGCAAAAGTTTCATAGCTGTATCGATTAACAATATTTCACTAGAACAAAATATGTATTAATTTTTACTGTGGGAGATATCGTCTCCTTAATTCTCAAAGGCCCTAAACAAAATATTTTTTATTTTACAGAAGAAAAAAAACATGAGTATCAAAAAGAGGGAGGGCTTTGTAAAAAGTGGCATGTAACTCCATTATTTTTGGTACCAACCCTTCATAATTTTTATTGAACGGGTATTTTAATACATCCTACCAAAATCTGTGAAAAACGCAGTTCCGAAAAAAGTGTTGGTTAGGGCCTTTGGGAATTAAAGTAACTACATATATGTAAATTTAAAACTTTAAACCCGTTTTTTTCGAGTTTTGCTTTGTTGAGTTATGACATTATTGGAGTAAATGAGCGATATGTATCTAACCAAATACGAATCAGTAGAAATCGACTTAACCTCTAACAAAATGTAAGTAAGTTCTCACAAATGCGTGGACCAATTTTCACTCTAAGCTGGCACTGTAAATATGTATGCACATTGGTGTCAATAAGGAATAACTACTAAAGTCAGGAGATTGACTTTATCACTATGCACCTGATTATCCAAACTAAAAGTTAATTTGGATGAGGCTTTATAGGAATATTGGGAAAGGGTTGTAGACATCAAAATTATATCTTTTATATTTGCTACACATGGTAGTACAACATTTACAATATACGCTGCGAATGGTGTATTATGCTAAAGTCAACCTCCCGACTCTAACTGCCATATTTCGTTGTAATTAAGTTTTTATCATTTTATATTTTAGGTGCTCTGATACTTCGCCACATCGGTCAATTTATTGTAAATGCACATACATGCGTTTCGATTACACCATCTTGCTATGATGTATCATCAACAGGTAACCTTGTTGGGCTTCTGTTGGTACCTAACGTATGGGTAAAGCCTTTTCATCTGCGTCGCGGCTTGTTGCATATGTTCAGCGAATTCCGAGAGGTTTCTGCTGCCAACCTGTCATATCTTAGCATATGTAATCATGCTTGTGCTCCTACTTTGTGTCCGAAATTCTCTGGAAGGAATTTCTACGCATTGGCTGTAAAAGACATAGAAACCGGAGCAGAAATATTTAATTGCTACACCCTGAATCACCGAAAGTCGCTAAGAACTTTCCGCCAGAGCTACCTAAAAGATACTTATCACTTTGACTGTATCTGTGCGCAATGCCAACAAAAAAATCCTGACTCGGCCTACGTAAGAATTTGTTTTTATATCACAACATATAAACCTCTTTTTTAACCTTTGCTTTAGTTGAAGTATCATTTATACAAATGCCAAAATCCAAAGTGCCAAAAAGAATTCGTACCAGATGTAGATAATAGCTCGAACCTCATTTGGTGGCTAACGGTATATGAAAACCAAGTCCCTTTGGAAGGAGTAGCTTGCACCAAATGCAAAAAGAAATGGGATATTGAATGGTTTAGAGAATTTAAAGAATTACTAAAACAAACAAACAGTGTCAAAAAGCGGGTCAAACTTCTACGTATTTTCAAAACTGTTGATGATTTCCTTTTGGGGTTTCATTCCTTAAAGTTAACGTTGGCATCGGAGTTGGTAAACGCATGTATTATCTCATATACAGGTAATTTGTAGTCTAAAAATTCTGAAGTTATCAATTTGAATATTTATGATTTAATTTTAGCTGGTTGTGAATTTATTGATGAAGAGTTGAATGAAATTGTACGCATTTTAAAATTTTGTCTGGAGGGCACTGCCGATCAATGTGGTTTACAGTCCATTGAGTATGTGGCTACTATGACATATATGTGGGATTTAATTGCAATCGGAAAATGCCAATGTACGCAGTTGGAAAAAAATTCGATGCTTAAAGCACTTGACATAATATCTGATGAATATAGAATTGTGTTTATAAATTATTATAAAGACTACATTGATAAGAAATAAAATTAATCGCCCTTATGTCAGAACATGAATGTGCATATTTATCAGTTTTGAGTTATTGGGTTGACTTGATTAACCTTTGGATGTTTTATAATATACCAAAACCCAGAATACTATGCGCGCACGGAAAGCACATATGTATGTACTTTACAATTCCAATTGCATAAATGTAAAGTTTCGTAATTTTTACACATTCATGTTTCTGGCAAACGGTTGACGACATGTTAAGTTAAACTCAAAATGTTCATAAATTGACTTTTACCGTAAAAGAATTCATAGTACGTATTTTAAGGACAACTAACATCATTCGTAACATATAAAGAGTATTTTATTGATGTGTAAAAATCTAATCTCTCAGACTCTCAGTAAAGCTGCATGAGGCGATTTTCTAGGCGATTCAACATTGCTCGACAAAAATCGCTTACCTGAAAGTAACTTAAGTTAACTTTTGCATTTGACTATTGCCTGCCAAAAATTCGCTCATGTGCATGCATCTTATTGCTAAAATTTACGTTAAACCAGCAGAAAATTCGTAACTGCTGCAATATAAGTCAATTAATTTCAATTCCCAGCTCGGGCAATTGTTCCGCTATATCTGTATAAATGTAAGTAGGCAATGATATTCTGTAGGCACTCTGAAACTTTCACTAAATCATACTAAAATTTAAAACTGCGTTATAAAATACAATTTTAAAAGCAAACTGCAAATTTTTTTTGTTAATAACGAAAAAAAAACAAGTGCCCCTTGCAAAATTGCAACCCTGTACATGCATTTCCNAATAAAAAACAAGCAATATATTTCCAAAATTACAAATTTTAAAAGCAAACTGCAAATTTTTTTGTTAATAACGAAAAAAAACAAGTGCCCCTTGCAAAATTGCAACCCTGTACATGCATTTCCTTTTTGTAGCCACCCTTTTGCAACCCTGTACATGCATTTCCTTTTTGTAGCCACCCTTTTCCGAACATTTGGGCTGCGTTTCTTAATACATTCCGGATAACCCCATTTCACAGCCGGAATAGACAGAATTCGTTTGAAATATACTAGCCTGGGTAATAGCGCAATTTTTTTGGCGCTAGCTCAATAATGCCAGCGCCACCTGGGTATCTGCGCACTAACTCGGTACAGCGCAGTACACCGAATTGAACACGGCGCCATCTGAGTGTCACCTCAGTATCCATCGTCANGACAGAATTCGTTTGAAATATACTAGCCATGGGTAATAGCGCAATTTTTTTGGCGCTAGCTCATTAATGCCAGCGCCACCTGTGGTATCTACGCACTAACTCGGTACAGCGCAGTACACCGTGTAGCGAATGTCAATAATTCGGTGCTACCGTATCACGTTTAATTATGTTTATTTAATTAAACGAGTATCCAATACAAAGATTACTAAAAACTAAGAACAACTTAAATTACTAGCGTATGTACCAAAGCGTTCAGAAAAACTTATCCTCTGCTTCACGTGCCGTTCGTTGGTTTTTGAAAATCTGTCAATTGCCAAAAAGTGTTGCCGCTTCCTTAGAAAAGTGAGAGTTTGGCCACAGTAGCCCCCCCGGAGTGACTTTAATGCACATGAGAAGTCACGGATTCTTACATTGCTCTGTTCTGGAGTATGTGCGCATGTTGTTTGGCCACATGGAACCACTCGATGACGGCAGTGTGGTTGGATTTCCGAGCGCGTTGCTCAAGCCTTGATGCTCGGCTTCTATAAANCAACGCTTGCAACTCCAACCGAATTTAATTGCTAGGAATGTAATAAATGTCACGATATTCTCATCATTCTTGAGTAAAAGCTTTAAATTTGCGTTCTCAACACTCATAGCAAGAACAAAGTACGTGTAAATTTTCAAAGAGTTAAGGCGAATTGTGTGTGTGCCTCATGTGTTGCTTGGTGTTAATGGCGCTGGCGCTTTCCATATGCTGTTGTTGGCGCCGCAACTCCTACGGTGTTAACGCAATTGCGCCGCGCAGCGCAGTGTTACCCATGCCTCAAATATACGTTAACATATCATCAGGAACGTTCTAAATAATAAGTAAACAAAAAAATTTATTCCAAACGTTCAGAATGAATAAAGAATTGCAGTCTTGATTTCTCTCTCTCTCCAATACTTTTCGTGTAAAATCCTGTAAAAATGTCAAACAGCAAAATTGTTCTCTGAAGTGAGAGTAAAAAGTGAGTAACAACAAAAAGTACGGGAACAAAAACAGCATTTTTCCTGTAAAAACGTCAACCAGTGATCGCTTGACACTTTTCATGATTTTACCAGAAGAAAAAGTTCTAGTAAAATCTTGCAACTTCATTCTATACCCAACTCTCCAAAAATCGCTCTCATTTACAGGATTTTGGAGGAATTTAGAGTACGGGATCATTTTTCATGTAACTTCCTGCAAGTTCGTGTAAAAATCTGTAAGTTCATGGAGTAGTGGATCAGAGCTAGTATAAAAATTAGCTCGGATCCAGTACTTTTCGTGTAAAATCCTGTAAAACTGTCAAACAGCAAAGGTCCTCTCGGAAGTGAGAGTAAAAAGAGAGTAACAACAAAAAGTACGGGAACCAAAACAGCATTTTTCCTGTAAAAACGTCAACCAGTGATCGCTTAATTTAATTTTTAAGTAAAATCTTGCAACTTCATTCTCTACACAACTCTCCAAAAGTCGCTCTCATTTACAGGATTTTGGAGGAATTTGGAGTACGGGATAATTTTTCTTGTAACTTCCGGCATGTTCGTGTAAAAATCTGCTAAGTGCATGGAGTACTGGATCAGAGTTATTAGCTCTGCTGTTTGACATTTTTACAGGAAAAATTTTGACAACTAATACGTATATATTCATTGGCCCGTAGTCATAGTCAAAATAAAGTCGACTTTAAAGTTAGTTGCAGCTTTTTGACATAATTTTCAATGGGATATCTGTCAAAAAAGATGCAACTAACTTTAAAGTCGACTTTATTTTGACTATGACTACGGGCCATTGTCTTAATAGCATTGTCCAATGTAAACGCGCAATTACACGAAAAGTAGTGGATCAGAGCTAATAGATTTTTGTATTGCAATCGATAGTTCGTCGATTGTTATTTACTTTTCGCCAATTTTTAACGTTTGTTCGTTGGCCACACAGTAATATTACAGACCAACAGTAAATAACAATCGACCAACTATCGATTGCAATACAAAAATCTTAAAATTTATACTAATGAGGTGGTAACGTCGGTTGAGTTCATATCCCATATCTTTAATGGAAAATCAATATATGATGAATTTATTGAGGGATTTTGCTCAATTTTAGGGATGACAAACGACGAACAAACAATTTATCACATTTAACAAATGAAAATAATGAAATTCTTACACATGAGGTGCTAAATGCAGGAATTGTAAAATGTAAAAAAATTATTATAAATGTTTGGCTGAGGAACAAACGTTAAAAATGGACGAACAATGAAGAACAATCGACTAACTATCGATTGCAATAATAGATTCTTTCCCTAACAATCCGGATCCGGATTTTACAAAAATTTTCATAACTGATCTTACTTAATTGCGGCCTTTTTACTGGAAGTAATCCAGGAAAACGTGGGCCATTATTGAGTTTAGAAGACTCCAACAAAGTACGATCGACTATCAAAACATTTTCTCACAAAAAATTCAAAATCCGAGCACAGTGTAAACAATCAGGAAACAAAATATATAATATCGTAACCAAACCCATTATGTTTTATACCAGCGCCTTTTACATTTAACATTTCCTTTTATAGCTTCTTTATAATAGATAAATCGGCGTGGCATAGAGAAATAAGTTCGGCGATGGTTTCTTTTGCCAGGAAAGTCGTATCAAAAAGGAAGCCATCATCTACAAAGTGATTTCGAAGTAATTTAATTAAATGCGGCATATCTGCGAAAACGAAAATTAGCTTGGTCTCATCAGAAGGATGCTTGAAAAAAGGTTCCTGCGTAGTTACTTGCATCGACCTCCATACTTTTTGATTAGGGTTGCCAGATTTTTTATGCGTGAAATCAGTACATACTTTAGACTTTTTCATGCTAAAAAAATCAGTACTTTTCAGTACACTTTTATTCAAAGCAAAATTGTGAATATAAATTACAGATAATACTCAAAATCGCCAGAGTACTTGTTTTCAACAATATTTTAGTATAAAAATAAAATATAGCTCATAAAAAAAATTTCATTCATTTTAACATGAGTGTACATAATTGTACACAGGAGCCAATAAATTATTTTCTATTTATTAAATTTTTTAATAGCAATAATGAGATCACTTCCATTTTCAGTATTTAAATAGTGGAAGAATTCTATACATTTAATTTTAAAATTACTTTTAATATGAAGTGCACTTTCAAAAATTTCATCTAGAAGCCGGTTTCTCTCTTTGCGCCAGGAAACAAGGTTACATATTTTTTCATACTGTGGAAAAGTACCACTATTTAAGGACTTCATCTATATGTAAAGTAAGCCTTACTTAAGTAAAGAGCCTGGGGGCTCGGGTTCTTCTTCTCCACAACTTTCCGTGCTGCTACCATTCAGTAGCGTGGAAAATTGCTCCCTCAAGAATTTAAGTACGTTCTGGACATCGGTCTCTATGACGGCATGGTAGTTCTTACTGGTCTTGAAACTTCCAGTAAGCCACTTAACTCTCTGACAAAATTTTCGGGCGTTTATCCTGTCGGTCAATCTTTTAAGCTCTTCGCATTCATGTGTTTTGGCCTCTCGCTTCTTAATGCGGCAAATACGTCTCGCTTGCCTCTTCAGTTCCCTACACCGATCCTACAAGGCTCGCGTTGCGCAGCGTGGCTCTGTAGGCGGTATCCTTTTTCTCTGCAGCTTCTTGACACTCCTCAGCGTACCAGTTGTTCTTTCGGGCTCGCTGAAATCCGACTATTTCTTCGGCGGCGGTACTTAATGAGCGGGAAATGTGGCTCCACTGTTCGATCTTAACCCCATAATCTGTAAGTAGAAAAATTCGCCCCTCCCATAAAAATTTGTACCTCGTTATTCTGTAATTCTAAAATAATTTCAGATTGTACCGATAACTTTTCGGTGAAAATTTCAGATGTTAAAGTAAACGCAAATGGACGCTGGCAAGGAAAAGAGGTTTGTAAAGGTATTTTTCATAAAATATCAAGTTAAAATATATTTAAATATTAAGCATATAACAGAAAAAATGATCACGGGGGCACAGAGAAAAAACTTAACTTTTCCTTGAGTCGTGAGAATAAAAAGCACAACAAATTTGACGGCTAATAATCTGAGATTTGCATGTGTAAACGGGGATCAGTCATGTACATATGACCAATTTTTATAGTAGTTATTATTTGTCAATACTAGACTTAAGATGTGACCAATGTTTGTATCATTGGTGATTCACATGTATACCATTGCTTCTGTCAAATTTTGATAGAAACTTTCATATGAAGTAATGGGGAGTATTTGTGTCAGTATTGTCCAGCATTTTACCGGTCATATGATTGTCACTGTTCTTGGAAGGTATGTTCTCAGGTTTTGCAATTTCAAATTTCAAGTTGGTAAAGAAACAACTGGAGGGAGGGATGATACATGAGTTTTCTAATTTTGTACCAAATGGCCAAAAAAAGTGTACTAAATAAGCCGAAAAAGTACCAACATTTAAAAGACCATACATATATAGTTACATAAACA